GCAGGAGGGGTGAGGAGCGCGGCGCCGGAGCGCAGAGGCGCCAGTGGCCGTGCAGGGAGCGCCATCGCCGCAGCCGCGTCGGGGGCTGTCGGAGCGAGGGCGGGATGCTCGGCAGTGTCACGGTGTGCAGCGGCGATGCGCTGTGCGGAGGGGGTGTGTGTGTCCGTTACGGTACAGCGAGAAGCCCGGTCACCACCTCGTCCTCCTTGCCCGGCCGGGAATCTATCTGGCTTCAAAATCGCTGAGCGCGGCAGCTGGCACCTCTTCAGCAGTGCGTGCTGCTGTGCGGCTTCTCATCGATTAGGGCCCAGGAGGCTTAAAAGTTAGTAAAAACCACCTTGGTGAACAGCAGGGATGGCAGTGCACCTCCTTCGGGGATGGAGTAAAAGCAAAGACTTTGTACGCAGACCCCACTGAGTCCCATTCCAGTGCAATGGTCTTCACTAAAACACCACAGGTTAAAACCCCCTTTGTTAATCCAGACCTCCAGAGGTTACCGTCAGGACAGCAGAAGCCAGCAAGATGGTGTGTGCCTCCAAGCTCCATCTGCTCTCACCGAGGACAGCCCAGCTTGGACACATGTCCCACATGGTGATGGGGCAGTTGTCGCTGGCGGAAGATGATGTGCACAGCATGGAGCAGCAGCGTTTTAAACATGGGGAGTGTGCCAGGGCTGCCTGGGGTGTCTGCACCTCCACCTACTCCCGCTGTCATCCAGCCCTCCACTGCAGGTGACTGCTCCGGTGCTGGGGCAGGAGAAGCATCTATCCAGCTGTGTCTGTTCTTCATAGAATAGTTTGGGTTGGAAGGGACTTTTAAAGGTCATCTAGGCCAAGCCCCCTGCAATGAGCAAGGAAATCTGCAACTTGATCAGGCTGCTCAGATCCCATCCAACATGACCTTGAATGTTTCCAGGGATGGTGCATCCATCACCTCTCTGGGCAACCTGGGCCAGTGTTACACCACCCTCATTGTAAAAAAATTTCTTCCTTGTATTGAGTCTAAATCTACCCTCTTTGAGTTTAAAACCACTACCCCTTGTCTTATCGCAACAGGCCCTGCTAAAAAGTTTGTCCCCATCTTATAAGCCCCTTTTAAGTACTGGAAGGCTGCAATAAGGTCTCCCCTGAGCCTTCTCTTCTCCTTGTTCTCTGAACAACTCCAACTCTCTCAGCCTGTCCTCATAGGAGAGGTACTGCAGCCCTCAGATCATCTTTGTGGCCCTCCTCTGGACCTGCTCCAATAGGTCCATGGTATCCTGCCCGGAGCTGGATGCAGTACTCCAGGTGGGGTCTCCCCAGAGTAGAGGGGCAGGATCACCCCCCTCGCCCTGCTGGCCGCGCTTCTTTTGATGCAGCCCAGGATGTGGTTGGCTTTCTGGGCTGCGAGTGCACATTCTGGCTTGTGTCCAGCTTTTCATCCACCAGTACCCCCAAGTCCTTCTCTGCAGGGCTACTCTTCTTCAGCCACCCCAGAGAAACTAGAGATGACGATGGGTTTCTACATATCTAATGGACTATTGAGTCCAAAGATGAGAAGCATTTTTTGCTAGCTTTGGTCTCTTCTATAGCCCTTGTAACCATGGGGACCCAGGACAAAGGCCTGCAATTCCTGGACTGTCTGAGTTAAAAAACTACTTTGGTGACGACCCTAATGCTAACTGTGATCTGAAAATTCACAGCAGCCTTTTCCTGAAAGAGGGTATTATTCTCCATTATTTTGTCTGCTCCTGCACAGAAAAGACAGAGATAGGGAAGCAGGATTGGACACAGCCCCATAGAAAGATCAGAAAAGAAGCAAAAAGGTGTGATGGCAAAGAGCCCCAGGAGCAGGGCACTAGCAAGATCTTTTAGGAGAACAGCTCGGCTTCCTGTGGGACCATAGCTCTGCAGAGCCATCCTGTTTGCTCTGCTCCCTCTACCCATTCTGAGGCCCTTCTTGAACTTCATTAGTACAGTCCAGACAGCTGAAGGTCAGTCCAGATATCCAAGACTTCATGCTTTCTGGAGATACTTTTTTGAGGAATTCCAAGTCGCTTAAGTCCTTTCACTTTCTCTCTTGTCTGTGCTTCCTCTCTGAAGACTCCTGTGAGATGGACAGATGCTTCTGCAACACCAGTGACATTTTCCCCCACAGGATGAAGGGACCCATGTGTGGAAGGTGGAGGTCGCAAAACTCCCATACGAAAAGCAAATCAGAGCTCACCGAAGCCAGACAAGTAGGTATTTTCCCCTCTCCAATTACAGCCTGATGAAACCGAGCACAAAATTTATTCCTCCATGTGTTACAAGAAAAAATCCATGAAAATATGTCAATGACAAGGAAGAGAAGCAAAGAGAGGAGGTTTGATCCCATGAAGAAGGCACGCATTTCTGAAGTGTGAATCTGGCACCTCAAAGTGTGAATCTGGCACTTGAAAGTGTGAGGCATTAAGTTCCTAATGAATATAGTTCAAGCACTCCAGCCACTGGGTCACAGAGACCTAAACAAGGTCCCTCCTCAGGAGCTGAGGAACAAGCTTGAAGAGACAAGGACAACCAGCAGTTGTTACAAGTATAAACAGTACCAAGGTAGTGCCAAAGGATGATGAATGCAGACTATGAAAAAACATATTTTTATGAGCAGATAATGGTCAGCATAAAGGCTTTTTAAAAAGACAGATTGTTCCTACAGACGGTTCCAAAAGAAAATCAATAGAAATTCAGAACTATTAATGTCTAATTATATTATCATCTAGAGCCTGCAGTCTGTAAACAGAGATACTGAAAGTGATTCACCCAGATGCCGTGTCCTACACTTGTACCGACTTCAGAAATATTTCTCTCTTCCCTATGACCTCATCTCCATCCCAGAGATGCACTGCAGCAATACGCTCATGTTTTGGGCCCTGATGCTACAGGGAACCTCATGTCAGTCAGGACTCTCTCTGGAAGAAGCTGCGTGCAGAATTAGGGCCTCATATTGTATGGCAGTAAATGGTATATCTTACAATTAGCACATGCTCTGGCGATCTTGTTCCTCGGGATGTCTGAAAACACTGAGTACCTGTGTAGGGCAGTGAGGTTTCTTACTGTTCTGACTTCACGTTTACAACATATTGACATGAAATAAATAACAAACATCCCACTGCAAACTGTAAAAGAAACAAATTCTGATGCTTTCTATCACGGAATGTAGTTTTTATGAAATTTGCGATATCCAGCCCCCCAGGTTCAGGGTAGAAACCCACTAATACACACAAGGACTAATCTTTAAAACTCCGATCCTTGGGCACAATGCCTGGTGACATTTATTTCAAGCCGAGTTCTGCAAAGCGAAGGACCTGTCTCTATTTCTGTGGACATAGGACTGAAATGCAATGTTACAGACAACCCTTATCCCTTTGCCTAAAAACCAGCATATCTCATTAGCGCATTGACTTGGGTTAGAATGTATATTTTTAATTAGCAGTGCTGGAAGCGCAGCCCGGTAGGGGGAGATCGCTCCATCCGTAACGGGGTAAAAGACACACAGGCACACACAGAGGCTCCCACCGCATGCACGCACACACCTGAAGCAGCGGCGAGCTGTCACGACTCAAAGTCACCCCCAGAGACCCCGTTAGAGGTGCGGGCCAGCCCGCAGGGATGGAGACGGGGACGCTCCGCAGCTCCTACCCGTGGCCGTGCGGGCGATGCTCCCCG